CGTTAGTGGGACAATGTTGTCGGCCGATTTTCACAGTTCTTGTCGTTTTTTTTTTTATCGATCATGCTGGAAAATCTATGAAAAACGCCGTTTTTCGTAAGCATTGGTGGCAGCAAAGACCGATTTTTTTTGTTTATCGGCCGATAAAGTCCGGTCTATGGCCTGCATTACCCTCAAGGAGCGTACAATCTAAGGTCCCTAACTCACATTCATGCACACACATAGTAGGGCAAATTTAGATAAGAGCCAATTAATCTCCTAGCATGTCTTTGGAGGGTGGAAGGAAACTGGAGTACCCGGAGGAAACCCATGCTGGCAAGGAGAACATGCAAACTCAAGGCAGGTAGTACTGTGGTTGAGCTTCAAACCAGCAACTGCTAGACAGAAGTGCTACCCACTTAGCCACTGTAATTTCATGACTCCACCCAAGAGCCAGTATTTATTTATTTCAGGTACTTATATAGTGCTGTCAATTTACGCAGCGCTTTACATATATATTGTACATTCACATCAGTCCCTAACCCTCAAGGGGCGTACAATCTAAGGTCCCTAACTTACATTCATATACAAGGGACAATTTAGATAGGATCCAATTCACCTACCAGCATGTCTTTGGAGGTGGGAGGAAACCAGAGTACCCAGAGGAAACCCACACAGGCATAGGGAGAACATGCAAACTCCAGGCAGGAGGTGCCGTGGCTGGGATTCGAACCAAGGACCCTAGTACTGCCAGGTGGAAGTGCTAACCATTTAGCCACTGTGCTGCCCACTGCTTGTATCAGAGCTGAGGGCTTTGAGTACTAAGAAATGTTATATTTTCTGGGAAGCTATGTCCAACACCCTGCTGACACCCCCCCCCCCTCTCCCATGATCTGCCTGCATTGCATAGAGTAGCAGAGAGACTCAGTGATGCCATGAGTATAACATAAGGTATATTGATGGGTTGACTGATGAGTGAGGAACCAGAAAAGGCAAAATATATGCAGATTCAACTTTAGAGAACTATGGTTGGCCAGTCTGTGGTTGACAAGCGTCTATCAAATATCGGTGAGGTGGAAAAAAAAAATCACTTGGAGGGTGACTGGGGTGCGTTTTTTAACGTTTTATACTTGTGTTAATTGTGTCAAAAGCACAGAGTTCGGATATTTTTGCAAGTGGGAACTTAGCTTATAACTCTCAAATTTCCTTAATGGCGCTAAAAACATCAAACATAGAAAATCCTCAAAAAGTCAGGTGGCAGCTGTTTTGGTTTTTTTTTTTTGTTTTGGCTTCAGGGTATTGATATTTGTCCAGCTTCATCCAACCTCAAGCACCGTTAGAGCAGAAGAAAAGAAATGGCTTCTTGCCTACTTGACAAGGCTCCACCATGATGCACGCCAGCCCATGCTAGCTTGTGTTTGGCCTGCGTTGACGTTTTTCTTCTCGGCATAATTATCTGATGAAATTTCCTTCCAGCGCACGGTCTCATTTGTCCGTCTGCCACCTTTGTGTGTTTCTATGAGCTTAACTGCTAGAAATCCGCCCGGGAGAAATTGTCGCTTTGCTTTGTGCGACCGTCCCCACTGAGTGCTCTGAATGAGACCAGCAGTAGAAAGTAATTGGTGCAATGTGTGATCTAGGAGCAGGACTTCCCATTGCCTCAATTCCCAATGCTTCCAGCTCATTCATTGGTTGTGTGAACTGTACACAAGGTCAGCATTAGCCCAGGAGATGCTTATTGCTTCCTTACGTGAGAATTTGCCGGGGATCAATTTTGGGGATTGCAGACTGCTGACCACTTGGGTGTGATAGAGCTCACTTGGGTGCTGATGATGATGTTGGCCACACATACTTGACCATAGATGACTTGCATTTATTTACATTTTTATTTAGTTTTTTTAAAAACTAGTTGTGTTTTTATGCTAACCTTGTGCTGATCAGTAGTGATGAAGAGGTCACTTGGGGTTATTTCGTTGGGTGCCCTTTGCCATAATCCTTGTTTTAACCCCCCCTGGCGGTATTCCCGAATGTAGCTCGGGGTAAAGTTTCAGCACCACAAGCGGTAACCCCGATCTACACTCGGGAATACACTGCAGCATTGCTCCGGGATCCCTTCTTCACTTACCTTGTCCTGCGCTTCCCGCGATGTCCCCCCTACAGTGTCCCCAGCAATGTCCTCCGGCCGATGCCGGCATCTGTCTTCTGGGTTCCGTTCCCTGCGACGTCGGGACGTACGGGGGATGGAACTGGCGGGAAATTTGAAAATTGTAAAACTGACATTCACTAAATACACTAAAATCACATAGTATAACATTCCTGTATCAAACCATTTCACATACATTTTGTCCCGAGTGCTTTGTCCGGCGCCCTGCCTGCATTTTTACTGTTCTTTCTGCCTGGAAACTGAGAAACGTCCATGGCGTCCAAAAAGCGTCCCTTTAGGTCAAAAGCGGTTTTAGACCGGCTAGAGAACAGCGGTAGTAAATCAGAACCACTTGGATGTGGTCTGCATATTCTATGGGGCCAAATCGTGCTGGAATGGCACCAAAGTAGTACAGGAACCTTTTCTGAAGTCACGCTGTGCTGGGATGCACTGATATGAAAGGACACCATTGAAAACAATGAGATTTCTATTGTCATGTGATTCTGTGTGACTCAAGTCGCATCTGAAATTGCATTAGTGTGAATGGAGCCTTAACCCCCCTGGCGGTATTCCCGAGTGTAGCTTGGGGTAAAGTTTCAGCACCACAAGCGGTAACCCCGAGCTACACTCGGGAATACACTGCAGCGTTGTTCCGGGATCTCTTCTTCACTTACCTTGTCCTGCGCTCCCGCGATGTCCCCCCTGCAGTGTCCCCGGCAATGTCCTCCAGGCAATGCCGGCATCTGTCTTCCGGGTTCCGTTCCCTGCGACGTCGGGACGTACGGGGGACGGAACCGGCGGGGAAATTTGAAAATTGTAAAACTGACATTCACTAAATACACTAAAATCACATAGTATAACATTCCTGTATCAAACCATTTCACATACATTTTGTCCCGAGTGCTTTGTCCGGCGCCCTGCCTGCATTTTTACTGTTCTTTCTGCCTGGAAACTGAGAAACGGCGTCCAAAAAGCGTCCCTTTAGGTCAAAAGCGGTTTTAGACCGGCTAGAGAACAGCGATAGTAAATCAAAACCACTTACAGAATTGAATGATAATGATTCGTGGGGGAAATTCCTCATCAGAGACTGAAAACGATTCTGCGACTTTGCTCAGCGATGTGCGAACTTGGCGCTCTATTTCACATTTCAGTGTTTTTGGTTTGATTATATTAGTGAATTAAATTTATTATATTATTATTTTTTATGATTATTTATTATAATTTATGATTTTGTGTTTCAAATTTTAACATACTTGGGACGTTTACTAGACTCTTGTTCAGACAGATTTCAGTGAGTTATTCCTAAGAATTACAGGCCTACAATAAAAAAAACGACATATTTCGATGCAAAATAATGTAGCGCTCTGAGCACAGAAATACTGACATAATCAGACCGCTAGGGAGGTTAATGGTTCTAGCTGACTCTTCAAGGAAGTGACCCTCACAAGGAAGTGAAGACATGTTGTAGGAGTTAATAAAAAGCTAACGAGCTGAGTATTTTGTCTAGCACTCTGTCATTGCTGCTTGGAACTTTATTTTTTTTTGTGTTTGTGTCTGGCACTTCCATTGCCACGTAAAAATGAGATTTCTACATCACACTTACACTTTGCTTTGTTCCTTTTCCCACCGGGGCTCAGGCGAGAGAAATGCCTTCCCAAGGGTATGCAGCAAACCTCCAACCTCCCGGGAGGCTGAACACTCCACCACCTAATCGCACTGACATACACACAAAGACAACTTTTTTTTTTTTTTTTTCCCTCTAACCAGACTGAATAAAAATGAAATGTAAATAACTGAACTTTCTTTTTTTTTGTTTAGCCCGCCTCAGTCGTCGTCAAACCCCCCCCCCCCCCCCCTTTTTTTTTTTTTTTTTTTTTTTTTTAGTCTAGTCTCATTGAAATTGATTGCTACCTACAGAAAGCACTGGAGTGTCCATTTAAGTGTTGGAGTGGGGGATTACTTACTACAAGGCCACTCGGTTCCCAGCTGTAACAAAGAATATTGATTTGTAGAGGAAAGGAGAGGCTCTTTTTTCCCAGGCTGGCGATAGAATGAATTTGGAAGTCACTATGGCTTAAAAGGAAAAAAAAAGAGAGAAGAGTTTACTTGTAACAAGTGAACATTTGTTGCATCTGTAGATAGGAGCAATTGATGTAATGCATCAGTTTTTAAAAGTGTCTGGGAAAGTTTAGAAAGTTGGGCCAGTTGCGTGAGAGAGATCCATGGAAGAGGATCACCAATCCTCTTCCATGTGGCTTTCGCTGTTGTTGTGTGATAAAGCAGATGGCACAGAATATCATTTTTGTTTGAGCTACAGGAGTTTTCAGAATCAAAAATGCTGTAAAAAGTTGCTGTTTTGCATACATTTTCCTGCGTCTGGTGTTAAAGCATTCTATTGGCCAGAGCCCTGGCCAGTAGAATGCATTAAAGTGTTATAAACCCCCATCAGTACAATCAGTCTGTAGATGCAGTAAAGCATGCTTGTTATACTCACTGTGGAACCTAAAGGGTTAATACTCTGCATTGTGTAAAAAGGCTGTTTGATCCTGTCTTCTCTGATCCTCCCATTCTTCCAGTGTTTCCCCTCTTATCTCCTGACAAGATTTATCATGTGGAGACACTGTGCACATGCTCAGTTTGGTGTGTATAGCCAGAGAGGTTTTTTTCTTTTTCTTGGGAGAGTGCATTGGATCAGCACAGGGCTAATCAGCACTGTCCAGACAGAGGTTCTGCATCCTCCTAGAGCAGAAAGAAAACTCCTCCTACAAGCTTTAACCGTTACTCTGCTGCTGTACACCAATAGAATTGTAATTGCTGATGAGCAAAGGTATTTAGCAGTTTATATTTACTAAAATAATTGTATTTCCATGTTTTGTACTGTGGGAGACCGGATATAGTGAATGCAGGGTCCGGGGAGACCGGATATAGTGAATGCAGGGTCCGGGGAGACCAGATATAGTGAATGCAGGGTCCGGGGAGACCAGATATAGTGAATGCAGGGTCCGGGGAGACCAGATATAGTGAATGCAGGGTCTGGGAAGACCAGATATAGTGAATGCAGGGTCCGGGGAGACCGGATATAGTGAATGCAGGGTCCGGGGAGACCGGATATAGTGAATGCAGGGTTCGGGGAGACCGGATATAGTGAATGCAGGGTCCGGGGAGACCAGATATAGTGAATGCAGGGTCCGGGGAGACCAGATATAGTGAATGCAGGGTCCAGGGAGACCAGATATAGTGAATGCAGGGTCTGGGGAGACCAGATATAGTGAATGCAGGGTCTGGGGAGACCAGATATAGTGAATGCAGGGTCTGGGGAGACCAGATATAGTGAATGCAGGGTCCGGGGAGACCGGGAATTTAGTGAATGCAGGGTCCGGGGAGACCGGATATAGTGAATGCAGGGTCCGGGGAGAGCGGATATAGTGAATGCGGGGTCCGGGGAGAGCGGATATAGTGAATGCGGGGTCCGGGGAGAGCGGATATAGTGAATGCGGGGTCCGGGCAGACCAGATATAGTGAATGCGGGGTTCGGGCAGACCGGATATAGTGAATGCGGGGTTCGGGCAGACCGGATACAGTGAATGCGGGGTTCGGGCAGACCGGATACAGTGAATGCGGGGTCCGGGGAGAGCGGATATAGTGAATGTCCAGGATATAGTGTCCAGGGGGGAGATCGGATATAGCGAATGCGGGGTCCGAGGTTTAGCAACACTTGAAGGCATGCTGATGTGTGTTTTTATTCACTTTTGAGTGTTTAGCAAAAAAAAAAAAAAAAATGAATTATGCTCACAGTGTTGGGAAATGAGGATGCTTGGCAGGTGGCCCTTACCTTTCAAAGTTAAAGCGTATCAACATGCCTTGCCTGCATTGTGTTATGGTGTACACCGGCGGCCCTAAGGATACCCCCCCCCCCCCCCCCCATGATCCTGCCAGTAACACACTGCGGTGACAACGCGCATTCACTATGAGAGAGCAGTGTTGTCGCGCTATTGATTCACCTACAAGCTGTCCACTTTCCTAATCTTCATAACCCAGGGAGGGGGTTTTGCATTTCTGAGGAAGCTGATCAAATGTCATTTACGCAAAGGTGAATTTACAGTGATGCTGGATTTCTGCCAGGATCAACAAGTATGTCCGTTTCTTGTAAAAAAAAAAAATGTTATCTTAAGAAATGATAATGAATGCAGCCGCCACATCTAGGGACTGGTAACCTGCAAAATATTACATTTTTGTTTTCGAGTTTAGATATCTTTTAAGTGATTAAAAAGGTCTTCATTCTAGTCTGTAGTATCTGTGACATACATGGGTCAGTCATGTGTACCAGAGCATGCATACATTGCTAATTATCCCCCTCTTACTGGTTCTCATTGGTGCCTCCCTCTCTGTTTTTAACTGCACTAATTTGGTCTCTTATCCCGCCTTTTTTTTTTTGGTCTCATCTGCTATGCTATGGGCAGTTTTGGACCCCCCAGGGAGAGTTATCCAGCCTAGACTAGCCAGATGGGATAGCCCTTGTATAGAGTATTTATCACATTAAAAATTCCCCTCCCTATGATCTCATAGCCTTTACAGTTAGCCTTGGAAGCTGCCTTTAACCCTGTCATCACCAAATCCATTTTTTTGGTATTATTATTATATAGCATTTATAGAGCGCCAACATTTGGACATTTGGTGCATCGCTTTACATAAAAGAGTGACAACAGAAAAAAAAGTGGCCCACTCTGTATATTTAAAAAAAACAAACAAACCCAATTATATATATATTTTATTTTTTTGTAACTTATTTATATATACACACACACAAATAAGTAAAAAAAATATATATATAATTGGGTTTGGTTTTTTATTTTTTAAATATACAGAGTGGGCCACTTTTTTCTGTTGTCACTCTTCTATGTAAAGTGATGTGCCACATGTGTTTTATTTATATATATATATATATATATATATATATATATATATATATATATATATATACAGTGGGGCAAAAAAGTATTTAGTCAGCCACCAATTGTGCAAGTTCTCCCACTTAAAAAGATGAGAGAGGCCTGTAATTGGCATCATAGGTAGACCTCAACTATGAGAGACAAAATGAGAAAAAAAAATCCAGACAATCACATTGGCTGATTTGGAAAGAATTTATTTGCAAATTATGGTGGAAAATAAGTATTTGGTCACCTACAAACAAGCAAGATTTCTGGCTCTCACAGACCTGTACCTTCTTCTTTAAGAGGCTCCTCTGTCCTGCACTCATTGCCTGTATCAATGGCACCTGTTTGAGGTGGTGGACAGGTGTCTTTTATACTGATAACAAGTTCAAACAGTCACACTCCAAACTCCACTATGGTGTAGACTAAAGAGCTGTCGAAGGACACCAGAAACAAAATTGTAGACCTGCACCAGGCTGAGAAGACTGAATCTGCAATAGGCAAAGCAGCTTGGTGTGAACAAATCAACTGTGGGAGCAATAATTAGAAAATGGAAGACATACAAGACCACTGATAATCTCCCTCGATCTGGGGCTCCACGCAAGATCTCACGCCGTGGGGTCAAAATGATCACAAGAACAGTGAGCAAAAATCCCAGGACCACACGGGGGGACCTAGTGAATGACCTGCAGAGAGCTGGGACCAACGTAACAAAGGCTACCATCAGTAACACACTACGCCGCCAGGGACTCAGATCCTGCAGTGCCAGACATGTCCCTCTGCTTAAGCCAGTACATGTCCGGGCCAATCTGAAGTTTGCTAGAGAGCATTTGGATGATCCAGAAGAGGATTGGGAGAATGTCATATGGTCAGATGAAACCAAAATAGAACCGTTTGGTAGAAACACAACTCGTCGTGTTTGGAGGACAGAGAATGCTGAGTTGCATCCAAAGTTAACCCACTAACGATGCGAAAATCTGCCTATTTTCGACCCGTCTATGGCCTGCATAACTCTTGAAGCTGTGTTTGCCTTTTTGTACACCGGGTAAACGCAGCGTCCATTTTCTTTTGTAGACGTAGCTGTGTGCATGGCCCCATTGATTCCCATAATACTGATTTTAGATGCGTACAAAACTATACACTGTACGTGGTCTTTTAGACACCCCATGTGAATGAGCCCTAAATGGGAATTTTTGGATGTTGTCTACAGGTGGAAAGGACTTTTTTGGCATTTTTTCATTTCATTTGAAGCTCGTTATTATTATTATACAGGATTAATGGTGCCAACAGTTTGCTCAGCACTTTACAATATAAAGGGGGGACAATACAGCAACAATACAGTTCAATACAAGAGGGATAGGAGGGCCCTGATCCTGGGAGCTTACAATCTAGGAGGGAGGGGCTAGTGGTACAAAAGGTAGTAACTGTGGGGGATGGACTGGTAGGAAGAATAGAAGATTCCATTATTAGCTGAGGGCAGCAACAATACAGTTCAATACAAAAGGGATAGGAGGGCCCTGATCCTGGGAGCTTACAATCTAGCTCACGGAACTGTTCATTTCAGCTCTGCTCGCCAATCCCCAGTGTGTGCTTTTCAACACGCGTCTAGTGCCAACGTTAAATCTCAGCCAATGCTGTTGTAAAAGAAGAAGAAAAAAAATGAATTCAGCCGTTGTATTTGTACGGGTAAAAGAAAGTGGATGTCGGTGGCAGCAATTTCAGATTGAGGTTACTCCATGCTGGGAGCCGCTATTTATCTTCCAGGTTTGTTACACAGTTGGTTACACTTGAAGGATATTGAAGGTAAACAGGACACACCTGAACGTTTTGTTACAGCTCATCTACAGGCGGAGAGAAGAGATGAGTTAACAGAGCTCCTGTTTATTGATGCATCATTAAAGTGGTTCTAATGGCTGAAGGGTTTTTTTTTTACCTTCCTGCGTTTCTATGCATGAAGGTAAAAAACGGTCTCTGCGCAGCATCCCCCCTCAGCCCCCCTATTACCCCTCTCAATGTGCATTGGAGTCTCGGCGATCCCCGGACTCTAAAACTATAAAACATAAATGCAGCGCTTATCATAAAAAAGTGACTGTGCATAACCTGCAAGCATGAAACTTGCATGAAATGAATGGCACAGAAAATGATAAGGTGACCAGTGCAACAGTGAATGGATGGACATATCTATTGAAATTGAGATAACGTGGCTTATTGTGATTATTCTATGATCCAAACATTGTCAGAAATAAAGCATATATAAAATATCATTATCAAATAGAAGTTCAGTGAATTTGTGAATGGATGAAATCCGTAAAATGTTGAATCGAAAATGCCAGTATTCACAGTGAAATCAGGATTTGGGTGCAGGTGACTTCTTGTGAAATATGAAAATGAAGTGTGCTTGCACTTACCAGAAGCGTAAGTCAAATGCCTGATCTTGGGAGCTTACAATCTAGGAGGATATAGCGCCATCAATTTACGAAGTGCTTTACATATATATTGTACATTCACATCAGTCCCTAACCCTCAAGGAGCGTTCAAGTGCCATTTGTAAAATTCAGTTTCGGTTTTGTAGGGTGGCTCCGCTGCCTTCCAGGATCCCCAGGAGCAGGGGCGGACTGACAACTCATGGGGCCCCCCGGGGCAATAGGGGATCATGGGGCCCCTGTGTCCTTGCCCACACTCAAACCACACCCAAAAAAGCCTATGAAAGGTACCAGGGGCATCTCACGGAGCCCAGGCCCTCAGGCATCGCCTGAGTTCCCAAATGGTCAGTCCGCCCCTGCCCAAGCCTATGAAAGGTACCAGGGGCATCTCACTTCTGACCCCAGGCCCTTGGGCATCGCCCGAGTTCCCAAATGGTCAGTCCACTCCTGCCCAAGAGCCACCCTTACAAGCGCGCTCCCAACCAAGACCACACCTTCCGAGACCGTGGCATCCAGTGGGTATAGAAACCAGACCTACTGTGCAGGGCAGCATTACATTTGGATAAAAACGTCAGCTCCCTACTGTTTTACTGTGTTTTTTGGAAAGCTGTAGTTCAGTCATGTGACAGCTACTATGCACGCTCCCTGACAGGAGGTTCAGGGAAGCAGTGCTGAATGAGAGCGAGCCAGAGGCTTGTACAAAATGTGGCTAAGCAGTTGATCATATTAGAATTATTTTAAGATATTTAATTATTAAGTAAATTATTATTCTATTTTGATTTAAAAAAAAAAATACTAATTGTGGCGGTTTACACGATGCATAAATACTTTAATGAAAAATAGTGGGTGGGGGTGAAAAGAACTTTAATCTTTTTTTTTTTTTGTCTGTTTATTTTGTTTGTAAGTATTGCAAAGAAACTGGATTTAACTGGATTTGCCTCGGTCCCATGCAGTCCCTGTACAGCAATGCTCAGACTTGGGGAGGGAGAAGCATGCTGTTAAGGGAGGAGAGCAGATTGAGAGATGAGCTCACTAAAGCAGCCCATAGACAGTTCAGAAACTTCTTTCCTGCAACCCGGCGGAGGGGTGGGAAGCTCATCTAGTTAACTTCTGCAGATATAAAACATGTCTCCTCCAGTGCCAGGCAGGGATGTGCTATGTGACACAGCTGTGTAATTCTGTAGACAGGATGGTCAGAAATACAAATCCTTTGGCAGGTTTATATATGTTTTTATTTGTGTAAGCTTTATATTTGTGTGTGTGTGTGTGTGTGTGTAACTGTACACAGAGTGTGTGTACATACATGCAGTCCCTGTACAGCAATGCTCAGACTTGGGGAGCATTGCATTGATGTGTGTGT